AATAATTATTCATGAGTAATAATGATATTCATTTAGTAGGTAACGTCAATAATCGTCATTTCCTGCCAGCGCAGAAATCTTGCGCTCAGAACAAAAGTGATGACCGTGTGCGTCCTGACTCTCCGTTTTTCCGGAGGTTCAGCCCCGGCTGGACTATTGAGCTATCACATGATAATACACAAACATGCATAATATTAACCCGACCACATTAAAGAAATGACTTCATCTTATGACATAATGGTTAATAACAACTTACATTGGATTCAACAGCAGTAGCATAATTTTCAATGTATTTTGGTAGATCTGTTATACTAATGCTCGGCACCTTCTGACTCCTAGAAACTCCCGAGGTGTCTTGATTTTCCTTCAAATTTCTAGTCCAAGCTAGCCATTGATCGTAAATCTCACCGTATCTACACAGACCCAGGAGAAGTATCGTCGATGTAGGTACCACAATTTCTCGTAGCTTGATATAACTTAATAAATCGATTGTCTCGTGGCACGTCAACCGAGAACTCGACAATGAGCTGGGATTAGCCATATTCTGGGCAACAGCCGTACGTGTATATCTATGGTTGGGCAGTTGGGCTTAAGTGAAGGACTGAAGGTCAAGCTGCAAGCCTGCAAGGTCTTTGATAATAACAACCGTAAAACCTCGCCTACTTCTGCATAACTATACTAACTGCATTCACGATTCACGTGACTTGTGCGACATTTTAGAGGACATTTTCCTCCATCCATTATATATCTCCTGATAGTTAGGACTGGAAGACTCCAGTCCTAAAGAAGAGAATAGAAGAAGGAAGAGAGGGAGAGAATGGATGAAGATGATTACCTAGGACCTGGCGGGTATGGAAAGCCACAATTGATCACATATTTTTGGGGGCGTGGCACTTTTATAATGAACTGTTTTTCTGTTTTGCTAGTGGTTCTGGCCTAGCCTCCATATTTGGAGCTAGCGTTGCAATGGATGGTAGTCATGGCAATGAATCTCTCACCTATAAAGCTCCGAAGCAACCCAAGAAACAGAAAGGTAAAGTGGGAGGGGCTGAAAGGGAAGAGGGTGGGGCTAGGATAGGAATAATATTAGTAATAATACGACTTTATTACACAGGAAGTGGGAGTGGTCAAGAGTCGCAGCAAGTTTTAGCAGCTGTTTCAGTTGACTGTCAAAAACAGTAATTGTTTTAAATTATTTGTTAATTTATTTATTTATTAATTTTATTTTTAGTGTTGATGGTCATTATCAGCCTCAGGGCAAGTTAGGGTGTGCACTAATAGGC